AATTCTAGATTAGCCTTGGGTCTGAGGGCATTTTTTTTACTTGCTTTTTTACTTGCACTCTCACAAGTATAGAGCAACAAAATTCACTCCCTGCATTTAACCCATCCCCTTGGGAAGCAGTGAACTGCCATTGTGGGGCTCCCTAGGAGCAGTGTGGGGTTAAGGGTCAATCCAACCTCTGGATTCCAAGCGCAATGCCCTAACCACTAGGCCGCCACTTCCCTGGGTATGTGTGGTTTTCATGTCCAATGCCTCTCTTCTCACATTGTTACTCCTGGTATGGAGGATGGAAAGAGGCCTGAACAGTGTGTTCATCAGTTTAAGTCAAATTTTTTTTTATATAGAATTGGTTAAATAATGGACCTTTCCAAGTGGTTGAACTCATTTTAAACTGAATAGATCAAAGTCTGGGTAAGACAAGTACACCACCTGCTGGAGAAAATGTATTTGTATGATTTTTTAGATAACTCTAAAATGTGGTCTAAAGGGTAAAAAAAAAAAAAATAAACTCCCCTGTTTAGGGTTATGTGTCACACCTAACAGTTTTACATTATTATGCATATTTCAATATCAGAGAAAAAAAAAGTTGGGGGCTGCATGGTAATGCAGTGGATGGTAATGTTGTCTTGCAGCAAGAAGGTTCTGGGTTCTCGTTTCCCGACCTGGAGTCTTTCTGCATGGAGTTTGCATTGTCTCCCTGTGCATGAATGGGTTCTGTCTGGATACTCCAGCTTCCTCCAACAACCCAAAAACTTGACTATTAGGTTTATTGGCTTCTCTAAATTGTCCTTTTGAGTGAGTGTGTGTGTGCATGTGTGTCTTTGTGTTGTGCAGCAATAGACTGGCGGTCTATCCAGGGTGTAGCCTGCTTCTTGCCCATAGACTACCTGAGGTAGGGATCGGCCTACAGCAACCCTGACAGGGAAGCGGGAGAAAATGGATGGATAGATAAAAAAAAAAAAAAAGAAAAAGAAAATAAATCAAACGTGAGATCAGAAAGGTAAGTTTTACAACCAATCTGGCCCAGGGTGAAATGTAATACTTTGTGTTCTAATACATTAATCAACCAAATCATTTGACACATTTTCGTAGACTGACTCAATGCCTATTTACTGCCTGATTGTAGAGTTAAAAAAACAATCTCTGAATGAGAACTTTTGTGGACAGCATGAAGTAGGGTGTTATATTTCCAGTGCAATCGAAAGAAGATAGGAGCAAGTCTATCTTTGAACTTTTTACAAAAATCCAGGGGCTCTTTCACTCTGAAATGAAACAATAGAATTATTAATTTCCATCAATGTCAAATTTTCTACAATCTCCTTTTATAGTCAGAATCAATTTTTGGAGTATTCAAAAAACAGCGCCTTCCCTGATGGAAGAAGAGACGGGGCACTCGGGGCTGGATTCGTTCATCACCCAGGCTGATGCAACTCATCACCTCATCACCTCAATTATTGTTGAGATCTGGCCCTGTTTCAACTGTAGAGGGATCCCAACCTTAGCCTCCCCAGGAATGTCTATGCCAGGGTTCCTGGAGAGGAGAGTGCGGCTGATTGTCGAATCTCAGCTTTAGGAGGAGCAGTGTGGTTTTCGTCCTGGCCGTGGAACAGTAGACCAGCTCTAGACTCTCTGCAGGGTTCTTGAGGGTGTTTGGGAGTTTGTCTAACCAATCCACATGTGTTTTGTGGACCTGGATAAGGCATTCAACCATGTCCCTCATGGTGATCTGTGGGGGGTGCTTCAGCAGTACGGAGTTGGGGGCCCTTGACTAGGGGCTATCCGGTCTCTGTACAAGTAGAGCAGGAGTTGGGTCTGCATTGCTGGCATTAAGTCTGACTTGTCCCCGATGTATGTTGAACTCTTACAGGGCTGTCCACTGTCACCGGTCCTGTTCATAACCTTTATGGACAGGACTTTCAGGAGCAGCCAAAGGTTGGAGGCAGTCTTTGGGAACCAGTGGATCTCTTCCCTGTTTTTGTAGATGATGTGGTTCTGCTGGCTGTCTCCTGCCAAGACCTACAGCATGCACTGGGGCGGTTCACAGCTTACTGTGAAGTGGCCGGGATGAGAATCAGCACCTCCAAATCTGAGGTGATTGTTCTTGCCTGGAAAAATGTGGCTTGCCCCCTTCAGTTTGGGGGAGAGTTCCTATCTCAAGTGGAGGAGTTCAAGTATTGTAGGGTCCTGTTCACGAGTGATGTGAGAATGAAGCGGGAGATCAGTAGAGGCATCAGTGCAGCTGCTGCTACAATGCAGGCGCTGCACAGCACATACGTGGTGAAGAGGCAGCTGGGTGAAAAGGCGAAGCTTTTGATTTACCAGTTAGTCTACTTTACTACCTAGCTATTAAATCTGGATCATGACTAAAACAACAAGACCCCAGATACAATCGACCGAAATGAGCTTTCTCAGCAGGGTGGCTGGGATCTCCCTTAGAGATAGGGTGAGGACCTCGATCATTTTCGGAGAAGCTTGGAGTAGAGATGTTTTTTTTTTTGAGGGGGCATCTTTTTTGGATGCCCCTTGGACAACTCTCTGTGTAGGTGCTTGAGGCAAGTCCCACTGGGAGGAGGCCAAGTAGAAGACCCAGGACACGCTGGAGGGACTGCCTATGTCTATTCACTGGCCAGGGAGCGCCTTGTGCTTCGCCCAGCAGAGCTGGAGCAGGTGTCTGCGGAGAGGGTATCCTGGAAGTCTCTGCTTAGACTGCTGCCCCGGCTACCCGACTAAGGTATCCCGCATAAATAAGAGGACAATGACTATGAGACATTACAGTCTGTCATAACATTCAGTCGATTAAAAATAAATCTTCCTGGAAGATGACTTATGTACATTAGAGTAATATGAATACTGCCTTTTAGTGGGATGTTTAAATCTCCATGGATCTAAAAGTTATGTGTATCTATGAATGATTTATTTGTTTTTACAGATTTAGGTGGTTTTGATATTGACTGAGAGAGGCGATGCTAAGTGTAATCCATCACCAGGTTGTAATCTCCAGACATAATTAAGTGATGACTATCCAGATTTGGAAATAGTCATCATCAAAATTCGGGCCGTAAATAATAACCAATATAAAGCGAAGATGAAATAGGTCCCTCACAACCTTCCCATATCTACTATTTGAGTCCAAGATAGTGTTTGAAACAAGGAAGGGAATCTGTTTATGAAAGAGTATAGCTACGCCTCTAAATTTAAAGTTAGATTACGAATGAAACATTTGCTCTACCCATTCTTTATAAATTTTTGACAGGTTTTGAATTGGAAGGTGGCTTTCTTGCAAAAAGGCAATACCAACCCAGAGGTGTTGCAAATGAGAATGAACCCCTTTTTTGTTCTGATTTATGAATGATATCCCTTAATTCGTATATTCTATCATCTGGTGTAGCATTCCAAAAACTCCAACTTTCCTTCAATATTTCCTTTGTTTTTACCCAGTGAACTTTGAGAGGCTTCCATGAAGCTCAGTCTCTTGGCAAACTCATTCATGCCCTCCTACACATCATTAATGCACTGGTCATAAACACTCAAAATCGAATGTAGAGAGGCAATTGACTCTCTACATATGAGTTGATAGATGCTTTCACAGCTGTATTATTAGCTTGGGCTTTAATATTGTTAGCATTTGCATCGGTTTCTTTGCCTACGCTAACTGGGGAGTCTTAGTTGCATTTCCCACTCTGGTGTTGTTGTTATGCTATTTTAGGAGGTATTTTTTTCACCGTATTTTGACACTTCTAAGGCATTGTGACTCTAGTATGCAACAGTACAGTCATGGGGTAAGAGACCTGCCAAAAGTTCTCCTAAAATAAAATGCTGTTCAGGAGGCCAGAGAGCCCAAAATACCATCTAACACACAGCAGGCCTCACTCACCACAGTGAAGGTCAGTGTCCATGACTCAACAATATGACGGAGATGCTGCAATGTGGCATCAAATGAAGACTTCCAAGCTTCCACTAAGCTCCAATGCATGTCTCATATTCCTACATCATCTCAATTATTCTGAAGCCTTGTTGCATGTTTTTGTAAAAATTATGAGAAAAAGTGGATATTTTTTTAAGGAGGGCATCCAGTTGCATCTCTCAAATAACGATGATAGAAAAATATATTCTACTCCCTATACAAAAAAGAAAATAAAGTGGAAATCATGTCACTTATCATAATCAAAAATCACTCATGGTTGCTGAATAAAGAGAAATTTGGCCCATAGTGGGCTAATGTTTCTCCACATGAATGAAAATGACACATTGTCAGGAATTAAACATGTTTTGTAGCTGTGGTTGCTATTAAATGGGGGTTTCTATATATAATACCAGGTTTGCTGGTGAAGATTCTCAGTCATCCAGGTCATAGTCATTCCAAAAAAGTAAAAAAAAAAACAAAACAAACCACTGGACTTTGTTTCCAACTTTGAAGATGTTTTGCTTCCCATTCAATTCAGAAAACAATAATGTCAGGTTGATCTGGATTTTGTATTTTTATATTTGCTGTTTATTTTTTTAATGCACTGTGATATCTTTTGTTAAATATTTGATTTTTTAATCTGAATATTTCACTCTAAATGACTGAAGTTAGTCTTCTATGTGTGGGTGTCGCCCTCTAGTGTCCAAATCCCTACACGTATATAGCATTCCCTGATCAGGAACCAGAACACACTTATTTTGTTTCTTTTAAATAAACCAGCAGCTCAGTGTAAAACACACAGCAACAAAACACTCCTCAGGCTTTTACAGAGGATCTTTCAGGAACAAAATGCCCTTCAAGTAATTTATTATATAACTGATACTGGCACAAAATGCTGTTCTTAAAATAAAACATTCCTATCCTTTTGGTAAACTGCCATGTTGAGTACAGCATTGGATGGCACCCCTATAAACTCGAGGAGCAACTGGCGGTGAGGATATTTTACATACTGGAAATAAAAGCATCTACTACATAAAAATCATGTCTAGGTACAAAAAAAACAAAGGCTCAAAGACTTTCCCCTGAATACTTAAAGTGCTTCAAATTTACATTTATTTATCACACATTCATCTGTCATCCCAAGTCTGTACAGCTCAGAGAAAACCTGCCTCTCTTCTTCTTTCAGAAATATTATTTACAAATTTCTCAAACTTAATTTTTAACAAATTTCTTTTTTTAATCTTTGGTCATTTTAAACCTCATACAAATGCTCTCAGGTTTTACAGGATTCAGAATCAAAATTAAAGAGCCTGAAATTGAAATCTTAGAAACATCAACAGAACTTCAGCACAATTCTCTGGAGGGCTGGTGTCCTGCAGCTTTTAGATTTGATCTTTCTCTTAAACATCTGAATCAAAAGGCTAAACCGTATCACTAGGAAACAGCTAAGCTCAGCAGAGCTCTGATAATGAGGTAAAATCTATGTCAGGTTTTGGAAGCACAAATTCATCAAGATTTAGATTTATAGGAAATTTATAGGAGATTTATAGGAAAGAGATCACAGTTTGTTTAGATGCAGAAAGATCAAGACTCTGTCAGAGCAGGAAGGCGGGACCTCGTCTCAGTGGGTGCCGCCTCTACTTTGACATACTTGCGCAGGTATCTGATGGCTGACAGGGCACTTACATTTGCCAGCAGAACTAAAAGAAAGAAGAAACATAAAAAGAATCAACAGGAGATTTGAACATTTAAGATTCAGTTTGTTATTCTACAATCAGATTTAATCATAAAATATATCTGCATTAAGTTGCATATTGTTTAAGAAATCACTTTATAAAGCTTAAGATTGTTTCTAAGAATCCGTGTAATATCTATCAATCTGTATATCACATTTCACCTGACATAAAAAGGAATTACTTTAAACAGGTTCAAAGCAATATTTGATTTAATTACTCTATTAAATCTTATTGGTGCTTTACACAGTAATAATCCACCTACCGGCCTTCCAGGCATCACCAATTTGAGGATTAGCAGTCTTTAGCACCCATGATGCAAAAGCAATACAAACCAAACACATATCCGACTGGTTCAGAGGCAGGAGGGGGGCATCTAACCCTGAAACAACAGACACAATTTTAAAAAGCTACAGTATATATGCATGTACAACACATGGGATTATGAAACACTGTATATAACACTATAGAGAACATTATTTTCAAAGGTTTGCAAAATCTGCAATGAATCCTTGCATGCAACTATGCTTTACTACTGAAAGTTACAGTCTGTAAACACAAAACTAAGCCAACAAGATAAAACTTAAAAACTAATTAAAAAGGCAACTGCAGCATGTAGAGGAATCCCCGAAGAGACACTCCAAGAGAAGGCATTTTAATTTCCTCTCTACACATAAATCACAGTGCTCCTGACAGCTTAGAGGAGACTCTCATTGAGTGAAGTCGAGTTATCACGTAGGACCATGCCTCTTGGCTCTAACATCACGTTCCCTCTGTGTCATCCGACAGCTGAGGGAAGAGAATCCGTCCCTGCCGTGAATGTTACGGCAGAGTAGGTGACATTTCTACATCACAAATGTCCACATGTGAGATAAACAAAGACAGAATGACAGAAGAGGTCAGATAAGCTACTATTGCCCAGAGGATCAAGCTAAATTTGATATGATTTGGCTTGCATGTGCAAAGATACAGCTCTGTTGGGAAGTTCCTGAGCTTTTCTATATTATGGGTTCATTTTTTTAGGTTTAGGAAAGAAAAGGGAAGCAAATACCTCCTAATTGTTCTAAATTTGGGTTATATGCCTTCTGTTTTTAACTCGTCTGTTAGGGAGCAATGTGCTGCTAAACTGAGTGTCATTTTGGAAGTGTTCTGGGGTTAGGGTTTGAGAGACAATCTAAGGTTTAAACCTTGCAAGCTTGTTTAAGTTTTCTTTTTTGAGATTTCATTGGTTTTATTTTACATTTTGTGTTATTCTAGTTGTTTTGGGTTGTATTTGAGGACTTATGTATTTCTTGTTAACCCTCTGTTGCCCTCTTGTGTCAGTCTCCCTCTCTTAGCTCCCTTCTAGATTTTTCTGTCCACACCTGCTCCCAATCTACTGATTAGCCTGGTCTTTGTTCTGTTTGACATCTATTCTCCTCATCTCCAGTTATTGTTTGCTGCTTTCTTGCCATTTCTTTGCTCCTCATGTGTGTTTTCCCTGCCATCACCTGGATTTTGGCTTTCTGTATTTTGTTTGTGGACTTTTGCGTCTATTGTCCTTTGGAACTTTATTAAATCAGAAAAAGTAATCTCTGCTGGCTCCTGTCTTTGCATTTGGGTCCTTAACTAACTTCCACTAACCTGACAGTGTCAATGTTTCAATTGTCAGCCTCAAAATGTTCTCAGCTGAAAAACAAAAAGCTTGAGATGATCAGGAAACACCAAAGAAGCTCAAAAGGTCAAGCCCGTCTAATAGTTGACTATGCAGTATCCACAGCGAGGACAGATCTAAATTTTTGGCAGTCTGCTGAACTAGACTAACTGGACTAAACTGGACTAAAGTTTGGAGCTGTGTACATGGACTGACCAAAGACTTTAAAGTCTCCTGAAGGAAAGTTTTAGCATCAAATTAGACAAAGTTTGAGCTGTTTGGTAAAAAAATGTAAAATATTTGAAGGAGTCACAATGAGGACTTTGTAAATCATTTCAAATGACAATGTTAAATAAGTAGGAGGTCCAACAGGACAATGACCCCAAATACATTTTTGTAATGAATGAATAGATTAGTTCAAATATAAAGGTAGAGTATCTTAAAAAAGAGGATCCTCCTTACAAATTTCTTCTGTTATTTGCATTTTTGAAGCAAAAACATTTTTTCAGATCATCCAACTTATTTTAGTATTAGACTAAAACGAACACCCGAGTCGATACATGATGCAAGTATCAAGCTAGACATAGATTTTATGTAAAAGATGACAAACAAGCAGCCTGGTCCAACGTTGAAATATAACCATCCCTTGTTGTGAATATAAACACATTTTAGTTTAACTATCCAGCTGCATCCAGGAATAAGAAAGGCTTATTGTTCGTCATATCAATAAAAAATTTGTTTGTTTTGTTTCAAAAGATCATATGTTTAATATTAAAATGAAATGATGTGCCCCCCTCCCCACTTAATTGCCACAAACAAAGGATAAATGCAGATTGCCTTCATCATGACTTTACTTTAAAATGATGCACATCCTGCTGATTTAGTTCCAGAGCTCCGGGTGTGAAGTGAGTATGATCAAGAAACTTTTGATGGACATATTACTAAGTATATTCTAAAGTGAAGGACCTACTTGCTGAGAACTTTTTTGCAACAATCTCTAACTTGTTCATGACAAGGTTTAACTGTAAAAAGCTGCATTTTTGTTTGTTTTTCTCTCTATGTCAAATCAGAGATGTTTCTGTTTCTCTGCAGAGATATCATAAGGTCATGATAGGATAAAATACTGTATTTTTTTAACAGTCTAAAGGTATGAATTACACATCTCTCCCTGAATCTTATGATTTATCAGCCTGTCATATGTTCCTCCCTTCAGGAAGCTACTGGCTCCCAGTGTCCAGATGTTTAATACTGAGTCTGTCAGAAGAGAAGATAACAAGAAATATACTGGAAAAATAATTTAGATCTTTATTACCTTGTAATAATTCACCTTTTTTTAAAGTTGGTCTAACTTTGAACATCTTTGTTCCACTGTGACTTAATCCCCCCTCAACCCACAGCTTCATGCAATAGCTTAAAATCACCAATTCTTTTCTCTTAATTTTCTTTTGATTAAAATAGTGTAAAAAAAGTAATTCCTGATAACTACAAACAATGTCAAGGGATTAACAGAATTCTCTGATCAAGTCATAATTTCCAACTCCCTTAGAACGACTTAAATCAGTTTATGTTGCCTGTTTATTTCTTGACCAAAATGTTTTTTTTTAGTTTTTAAACAAGTCAATCAATAAAGAACAATTATAATTAAACTGGAGTTAAATTGTCACCTGAGATTCTTAAATTGATTTTATTATATGCAAACCTTGTTGCTTCTATAAATAATGTAATAGGATTGCTCCTCCATTATGAAAAAAAAGATAATATTTTTTTCTCACTCTTTATGATTAAAGCAGTCTAAATCTTTCCTGCCTTAGGTCAGTGAGAATAACCATATTAAATTCTAGTTGCCAACAGCCAGAAAATAAGACAGAATTTGTTTTTAGACGTTTACATACATTTACTTAGTAATTAATTTTAAACAGTGTTACTTCTGATTTAATTCTGATTGCTGTACTTTCAGCAATTTCCTGTAATCTTTGACATAGTTGTCCATAAGCCACTTTGTGTCTAAACTGGGTAAATGATTAAGGTTGTTTTCCATTTCAAGGACCCCGGTGGCTCCAAACTTTAACCACACTGATTTTTGAAGATGCTGCTTCGATATATTTACATTGTGTTCTAATGCAGTGCTGCCTTTTATTTAATGAAATAAACCAATCCCTCCTACAGCAAAGCATCCACACATCATGATACTGCCACCCTTGTGCTTTAGATTTGGGATGGTGATCTCTGTTTGCACGTTTCAATTTATTATCATAGATAAATGCTTAAGGTAAAAAGAATATTAAAATCTTTCTTCAATTATTTTGCATTTACCAAAAAGAAATAAGTTAATTAATCATAATTAGGCTAAAACTATGACAAACTTACTTAGAATACTTTATTTCAAAGTGCACAGAGTTAAATTATCTATGCTTTTCCTGCGGCCAATATTATAACAATAACATGATTTGTTTGTTTTCTTGGTAAACAGTTAAAAATTTTGCTTACTTGGATTAGAAACAGCCACCTCCAAGCCTTCATATCTGCATTGCTCCAGTGCGAGCTGTCTGGAGATCCTTTCCTCCAGGTGGTACAGCAGTGGATCGGGGAACATCACATCTGGATTGCCCAGCGCGTTTACTGGAAACTCAATATTCTGAAACTGGTGTCTGGAGCTCTGCCTTACAGGGACGAGTGACTTTGTCCCCTCCTGGGTCGTAGATGGTTTGAAGCTAATCTTTCGGAAGGAGAGTGAACTCAAAGAGAAGAGATCCCCTGTGATGTCGCCATCCGTGAAGAAATTCTCATATATATCGGTGGTAACATGCGTGGAGTTCACCTTATGGCTGAACCTGCTCACCACCTTGACAGGGCGACAGTTTTCTTCTTCCTCAGATTCTGAGGAGGAATCATCAGATGAGGAGGATGCAAAGAAATGCTCATAGGCCTCTGGGAACTGGAAGTTTCTAGTTGAGCGAGAGTATGAGAATATAGGAACTGGCTTATCTTCATTTTTCTCTTCTGCTGTTAAGAGCGGGTAGAAGAAGCTCTCCTCATCAAACTCTGAAAAGAAATGATCGTATGTTTCAGGGACAGAATTTCCACCGGCGTAGAAGGTGGGTGAATCTTCTTCTGGTGACTGGCTGGAAGCTGACTCTTTGCCTCCAAAGAAATACTGAAATATGTCTGCGAATGAGATGTTGTAGCTGTTTGTTGAGGATGAAGGTAAAGTGTCTTTCTCTGTTTTTGCAGTCCCGGTGAGATATGTCAACTTTTCGGGATCCTGCTCTTCCAAGATTTGTACTGCATCCTCTTTGCACCTGTAGCTAAAAGACTCTGATTCCAGAGCCTGTAAATTGTGCACACTGACTGTTTTAGAAATCTTCTTAAGGCATTTATGTGCCCTTTCACTGAGGACAGGTTGAGATGAAAATGTCTCAGGTTCCAACACAGTGCGCTCTGGACAAATGTCTGGATTTTGGATTATTAGCACAGGTTGTCTTTGCCAGGTAAGAGTTTGTGGGCACGACAAAACAGCCTCACATCTTTCCTCTGTAGCATCTACCAGCTTAGAATCCTCGTCTTCAATATAAATGCCTGAATCTTCCGCTGTGTCCTCACTTTCTTTAACAGCTGGAAGTGTGTCTGGTAGAGAAAATTTTCCCTCGTTTCGTAGACCCAAAATGTCGTTTATTGTCAGTTTCTCCATCTCCCTCCAAAATGAAGACATGGCAAACACAGAGTTTGGCATCTTCTCCGGTTTTTCAATTTCTGTGGATTCAGTGATGACCTGTGCAGCTTCGTTTGCCAAGTCAAGCGTTGATTCAACTTGGCTTTTGGATCCAGAAGAAGCATGGTGTACTTCTTTATCAGACAAAAGATTGGGCCGCCCTTCTACAGCTTGATCCGATTCCTGCTCAATAATAGATGAACAAATGAGAAACTTATTTTCATTATAAAGTGAAAGGACAGATTCTGCATCCAGAGAGACACTGGATGACACATGCATGATATCTGAAGGACTGGCTTGGAAGTTTTCTCTTTGGGAAGCTTCGTTTTCTGTCTGAATGTTGCTTGTTGAATCCAATATTTCAGATTTTTCTTTTTTGTTTTTCTCTGAATCGACGTTTGAAGTCAAAGCCTCTGACAGATCTAGTCGTTGGTCTGATTCGAAACAAGAAATATCTCCAGACAAACAACTTTCATTAGGCAACCTTTCAAGATGCTCTGATGTTAAGTAAGTGTCGATAACTTCATCCAAAGTCTCGCTGTGGAATGCCTTTGGGTGAAAAGAAATGATCCCTCCAGTTGTGTGCACAGAAAGGTGAGTGTGGTCCTCTGCAGAGCTATTTTGATTTGTGTTTGGACCAACACTCTCCAGCTGTTCTTGATGTTCAGAATCATTTTGACATGCTGTGCATTTGTCCAGGCCAGAATTTCCAGTCTCTGTGGCCAGGTCTGACATAGCAGAGGATAGTTTGTCATTTTGGAAAACTTCCATAGCAAGAGCACATGACCCTGCAGCCGGTAAAGTGTTGAGTGATTTGACTTCTGCTGTTGAATGTTTTACATTTTGTTCATTTTCACAGTCACTGAGCGACACATTTCTTTCATCAGACGGCTGAAGTTTGGCAGATTCTTCTTCCTGCTTCTGACTTTCTGACTTTTCTGTTTCCACTTCAGCACCAGAACCTGGCAAGAATGATTTTTCAAACAAACCAGGTGATTCTGTAACCTGAAACTCACTGTTTGGCTGTAAATCTGCTGCATCATTAGCAATGTCATCACTTTGGCTCAGGGGGGGGCTGGGTGTGTGGTTGGTGGGATAATTGCCAAACGCACATGTTCTTAGTGGAGATTGTTGGCATTGATTGTCACTCGGAGAAACAGACAGGGAGAGTTCAATTTTTATCTCCTGAGCAGAGAAATTCTCTGGGAACTTGATGGCGGTGGGATTGGGAGTCAGAACATACGTCAGATTTTTCTGTTGTTCTTTAAAATCAAGCTTCTCCGTCGATAAAAACAAACGTCTTTCCTCTTTTACCGTGAACTGCTCCCCCTTTGAGTGCCTCTCGCAAGGATGTCCACCTTCACCTGCCTCCAGACTGAGTCTTCTCTTCTTCCTCCTCTTCCTCCTCATGGAGACTAACTGAGACCCCTCAGGGGTCGACACCTGATCTTCTCTGCTGCTGCACCTTTTACAGAAAGTTTCCGGACTTGTCAGCAAATCTTGCTTGACGATGTCATCCATACTTCTCCACATTTCCAATCTGCAGGACTGAGCATTTGTGTCTGAGCCAAAAACGCTCTCTGCTGAGTCGTGAAGTAGATTGTACTGTGCTTCATCATCTGGTACGCTGTCTGTGAAGTCTTCCTCTGTTATGTATAACTCTGTTCCTGGTGATTTACAGAAACTTAGGGAAGAGGTGCTGCAGGTTTCAGGTTCTGAAAAAAAATTGGACTCAGCTGTAACTATTTTCATTGTGTTGATGTTTCCATTGGAGTCAATGGGCCTCTGAGACTCTTTGCCAAATGCATTTTCCACCCTATCAGGTGAGGTGTTTGACTTAGGGAAACTTTTTGGCAGAGTCCTTCCACTGACCTGCTGTTCCTCTTTTTTGGTCACTTTGTTGTTTCCATCTGTCTCTTGGCTCGTATCTGCCTCTCCTAGATCTTTTAGCCTTTCAAAAAATATGTTGACAGACTGAAGGTGTATGTCCTCCTCACTACCCGAGAGAACGCTTTCAAATCCACTGCTCTCATCTTTACCAAAGCCTTGCACCGCAGCAGGAGAGCCAGCGTCTTCTGCAGGGCTGCTGACAGGGAGGTCAGACACTGGGGAACTTGGTGTCAGGTCAACTTTTCGGGATCTCTGGGTGAGAAAAGAGTCATCGAAATCACTCATTCCTGAATCGTCCACACGTGCCAATGATGGAGGATGCAGGTTGCACTCTTCACACTCTGCAAAGAAGCACTCCCAGTCTCGGTCACTGATCTCCAAGCTGAAATCAAAGTCTTCCATCTGGCTTTGGGCTCAACAGAACCTGCAATATAAAACATTCAAGACTTCAGATGATTTTTATAACCCTTGATATACAACATATTTTCTTTAGGATAATTTAAAGACAAACTGAGAGCTTTTGAATCAAGTGCAAAGAAATCACTATCATATTTTCAGCTGGAGGACTAAACAAAAGAGTTAATGTGTAGCCTAAAATGTTTTAACTACACGTTAAGACATTTTATAGTGAAGCAAGACATACTACAGTCACTCAATCTATGTAAATCTTTCAACCAATCAAAATGCTTAAGTTTTACAACCAATCACAACAAACTCAAAGAAAGGGCTGTAAATCAAATGAGCATGGCTGCTGTCAATGGAAAGGAATTACTGCTGTTTACTGGTTTGAAGCACAAAGTATTGATCATATTGATGCCATAGAAAAATATCAGCGCTCTTAGACGAGAGGCTGTTTGGAAAGGGTAAAAAAGACCCAATAAAAATTTTTGAGTCCATCCTTCTACAGAAGGAATATTTTGGACTGGAAAATTTCAAGAAAGGAGGTTGAAAGAAGTAAAAGATCCTCTATGCTAAATAACAACCAGGAGCACGTTAGGCTCAGGAAAGCCTCATATCAGTACATTAAATGTGTAATTGTATTATTGATTAATTGATTGATAGAATTTATTGATCTTACAGTGGAAACATTTACTTATCACATCGGCTCAATAGTCAAAAAGACAGTGCCAAAAGGATGAAAAGGTGCACGAGTTTTATGCATCAAAGCTAGAAAGCATTGTTCTGGTAGAAAACATCAGTCATTGGTTGGCTGTCCACAGACCCCTGCCTTGATAAGTGTTGTAAAATTTTCAATCAGCTGGTTAACCATCAGTAAAAGGTTAAAACCCTTACATAAAGTAGAATAAACCGGAAAAAAAGTAGTGAGAAAATTTTTAAATAATAGTATTTTTTAGAAGCTACATAAGTTCAGAAGGAAAGAGATGAAAGAGGAGTCAGGAATGAGAAATCCTTTTCCTTAAAACGATGAAGATTATTTATGGTTTTTAAAGTTGTGTGTAAAGTCTTCCTTTAAACACACAAAGCTAGGAGCTTCTCAGGTTTCTATGTCTTTACAAAAATGTGTTAAAGCAATTAAATGGAGTACGTATCACTGTTGTGTCAGTATTTTATTGACTGTATGATCAAAGTTTACCTTCAATCTTTTTGGGAAAAAAATCTAACATCTTGATATCATCTGAAGAGCCTCATAGATAGATAGATAGATAGATAGATAGATAGATAGATAGATAGATAGATAGATAGATAGATAGATAGATAGATAGATAGATAGATAGATAGATAGATAGATAGATAGATAGATAGATAGATAGATAGATAGATAGATAGATAGATAACCACACAGCCTAGCCCAGTTTTGAATTATATAGTTTCATGTTAAGTATTGCTATTATTATCATCACTGCTATTATTTCATTATATAGAAATATTTGACAGTTTCTATCACTGTAAATGTTAAGCATGAAGTTGCAGAGGTTACCTCAACTGGGAGATACCACCACAGCTTATCGTGCAATAATAAAAACAAACACGTTTTTTGTTTTTGGAGTATCTTGCAGCATAAGTTAATAATGCTAATCTTATATTTTAGAAATCTTTATACTCTGAATTATGCCAAAATTTTCTAGTAATAAAATGTAACTTTGTTTTAGTTTGATTTAAAAAATACTTTTCACGCATGTTCCTACCTGTCCTGCTTCAGCTGAGACCTCGTTCCACCCGGATCAGAGGTGGAGGAAGACCCTGCAGAGCCATGTCATACTCTTTCTGGTGGGCGTTTCTCCTGCAAGAGCAAGCAGTGCAGCAAGCCCCATGATATGTTAAATATAGAGCGGTGCTTTAGATCACGTAATACACGCAGTGTTCTTACAGCACCCGTGTCTGACAGAGGTATAGCATTTCAGAACTTGAAATAGATTTTCCACCAGGACAGATCTTCACTAGTACCATCTTAGTTTTAAATACAATTTTAGTTTGCAGGCAGATGATCTCTGCAATACTTAGCCAAGTGTCATTCCTGGAGATTTATATCACTTTTTCAGAGGGATTTCTTATAGACAAAGTTTGAATCCAGCAGAGGGAGCAGCAGCTGCGTCCTGTCAGTGACTGTAGAACAGCAGCCCCTTGCCAGATATGATGGTCATGTGAAAATGTGTGTCAGTCAGCTGGTAACAAGGTGACGTGATGGCTGCAGAGTAGATCCCCTCCAGTGTTTCCAGATACATTTGAGTCATAGAAAAAGGAACAGGAGGCTTATAATAGGAACACGTACATTTTATGAAGTCATACAAACAAGTTTACAGAAGAAAACATTATTTACTAATTTTATTTAATTAGCTAAATAAGTATTTTATTATTGAATTATACAAGTTCAGACTGACACCAGAAGTCAGAGCCATCAGATAAAAGGAGAATGTTAGTTTTATATTATGCTGAAGTGTAATGTGGTTGTGCCATGTATGGTGTAAGATAACTGTCTATAAAAACATAAGCGTCTTAATTTGAAATTGTAAGTAAATGTTGACCTGTGAAAATACAGGTTTGGAAGTTACAAACAAAAAACAGGAGCATTGATACAGCTTTGCAACAATGCACATGCAGATCACATATTTACGAGTAAGAATCAATCTTACGAGAACCGATTCAATTTAAGAACCTGATAATGAAACTGTTACTGTAGCTGAAGGGCTAAATTCAAATGACTTCTAAAAGCAACTTAAAAACCTGTAAAGAAAATGCCTTACTTCATACTATCTCAATGTGACAGTATGGACCTGTTACTATATTTCTGGATAACAAAGTTTTTTAAATAAATATTCCTTTGGCTCAGTGGTCAGCATGCATGACATTCATTCAGTTCATTCATACATTCAGTTTGTCTGCTGAATAGTGGGTCCAAGGTTCAGCGTCCGTTACATCATCTGGAATTTATGTACTCGTAAATTTGATTCATACTCAAAAATCTGATTTGTACTTGTGAATTTGACGTTTGCACGTCCATTGGTGCAAAGTTGTACCTTTGTACTTTTTTTTGTAACTTCCAAGCTTGTATCGTCACAGATGAAGCACTTGAATTGTAATGCAATTTATGAGTTGACAACAAGGAATGAATAGAAATTTTAAATGTATTCATGTTAACTTACATTTACAAATTAACATACGTTTTAATTGACAGTCATCTCAGCCCATACAACAGTGTTTATATTAAAACTGTTTTTTTATTTTCATCCTTTAACTTTTTTGTTAATCTTGTTTAGTTTGTCTGTTAATCGGATTTTAAGTACATTTGTGTGTGCGTTGTTCAAGTGCAATTTTAATTACATTTTAACTCCTTTATTACAATTACTCATTATATTTTTTATCCCCATTTATAGATTTCCTAGTTATTTTCTGCTTAATTCAAATTAATTTCTGCTTATTTTCATTTCAATGTCATTAAATTTTAGACATCCATTATTTTTTTCTTCTGCACCATTTACAGTAGCACTTGTTTCCTCTGTTCTATATTCAACATGAATTTAATAAATATGTCAAATATCATTTTATTAGTGCTTTTAGGAGATTGTTTTGTTTTCAGTGCTCTAAAAATAAAGTTGTTTAATTTTCAGGTTTGTTTTTTGTACATAACAGGAAAAGTCCCTTTTCCCCCATTTTCTTTTCATTTACCAATTAACTAATAATCTAAATATTTCCTCACATTTGGATCAGTTAGTGATTAGTCACAAAAGCGGTTTAAAAAATACTATGATAAATATTACTGCTTTATCCAAATTCCAATTAAATTTCTTTCACAAAACAAGCTGTTTGAAATTACCTGGCTCTGTGTGAAAGTATACTTGCCCCTCTTCTTAAATTACCACCTCAGTGGGATTTAAGACATTGTTTTGGTTCGATTTCACCAGCCCAACTCAGACCTGATTACTTTTGTCTTGTGAAATTAAGAACTGGTTTTAATAAACATTACAAACGTAATTCTAAATTTCTAGGATAAAAAAAAAAAACATTTGCTGAACAAAAATACCATGAAGCCTGTCTCAGATCTCCCCAAAACATTGTCATGACCCCAATTACTTTTGGGAGACAGATGAAGAACTTCTCATAAAGTAAAATTTGGCATGAAACCAACCCAGTGTTGCAAGAAAAAGAAAAAGCTACAAGAGTCAAACCTTAAAAGTTTAAAAAACAATCCACTTGACTTGGTTTCCAGGGTTTGAAGATGTTTCGCTTTCCTTCCAGGAAGCTTTCTCAGTTCAAATGTCTGGATCCGCAGTGACTTTGAAACTAAGTCCAGTGGATTGTTTTTTAAACTTTTACAGAGTGATTATGACCTGGATGACTGAGAATCTTCATCAGCATACGAGAGTTAAAGTCTTGACAGTTGAAGCTTGGAATGAGGCAGAACTTTGACAACTTTCCATAATTGACCAAGTCCTGAATTCTGCTCTCTAGCAAGAAAACCATTGAGAGGACATCCAGCTATCAGCCACGACTTCCACAATATTTTATGTTTCCGTTACATTTTAGGAATACTGTATGTTGTCTGAATACAGTTAAACTAAGGATGTTTAAGAAGCATAGAAATCAGTGGGTGCAGGATATTTAGTAAGAAACCCCAACATATAACTTTTATTCTAATTAAAGATGTTTTTCCAAACAGATAATTTGTGAAGTTACAAATGAGAAGAAGACAAAGGTCACTGTGTGCATAGTTAGTAACTGGTCCTGGCAGATACACAGAGGTTGTGTCTGTTTAGTGAACTCATTGTTATTCAATTGACAAAAGAGCAAAAACAACTGAAAGATGCCAATGGGAACATTTTTCTACAGAAATCTACTTTAAGGTGTTGGATTGACATAGAAAAATGTAACTAAATTTGTTGTTTACAAGCAGTTTTTTTGAATAAAGTCTAATTCAGATTAATATGAGGGAGAATAAGATGGGGTGATATATGATCGCAATATCCTAACTAAGAAACAACCTGATGATACAACACAAAGCCTAAAATAAAAACAAACTAAAATACTAATAGGATTTAAAATAATATCCAGGATTGTTTCAATAAACAAAACTGTATCTTTTTCTAATAATTTAATTATAAGCCTACATGAGAAAAACATTTTTTACATTAGTCCTACTTATCATAATTATGTATGAATTGCAAGATATCTCTTTACTTCTCTAAGTTAAAACTATCTCACAATGTTAGGGTACATATTGCTATAATATATATATTATCATTGGAGGACATGAGCCTTTGTTTACAGTCATTAGAGAGACTTAAACAGCTTTAAATGAGTCCTGATCTTGTTTTGAGCTATTAGAGAGTAATTATCAGTTTGCATAATGTGCTTAACTATTGTTAAATATGTTGAATATCAGTGAATCAGTTGTAACAGATTATTTAAAAATCAAAACATGGGACGACAGACTTAACTGCTTCATTGTCAAGCTATTTTAAACAAACCCTGTCTTTTATAAATCCATCTCTACAATCAAGACTGGCCTCTGCTTCTCTTATCAAGCTCTATGTGTAAGCAATTATATAATGTTCCTGTAGACTTCACCTTCTGTAGTTGATTTTAATCACTTTAGGTATTTATAAGGAAACAGATGCTGTAATTAGTAGAGCCACAGCCTGAGCTGCTTGCCCAAGGCAGAGGGTCTTTTCCATTTATCAACACTGATAAAGAGAGAAAAGCCATAGCCTGTCTGTGTGGCTTCTGCACCTGGGGGCTGTTTTGACATGGGTGGCATTCTGTTTCCATCAACAGGATTAGGCCCACTTATGAGTGAGTAAAGAATGGGATCTATTTGGGCTTTTTTTCACAGCTGCTAATGCGACAGAATTTCAGTCTGATTGTTTACCATGTCAGGGACAGTAATTCAGCTGCAAACAAGAACCAGTAAACAGCCGCATTCAGCAGGAGCTCGCTGACACCGTGTTTAAACAGAAAGAAGTTTGTAGAGGGGTCCCGTTACCAAGCATCCTCGGTTGGTGGCATCCTTTACATAACACAGGCCTACAAACTCTTCATTACAGAAAGCACAGGGACAAAAAGGTAGAACTTAAAAGTTTTTGTGCTGGTTTAGAAAAAATACCCTCAAAATTTGCACAATTTGTAAGCAGAATGAAAAATAATAATAATAATATATAATAATATATATATAAATAATAATAATAATAATAATAAAATAATAAAAGTGTGAAAAGCACTACAAAAAATGTATTCCAAGATTGAGAAGATACAGTATAAACTATGGTGCTGACTAAAGCGGGAGTTAAACCTACAAAGGCATTCCTATGTGCATGGGGTGATTAAAAAGTCAATAAACATTCTTATTAATACTGATACTACTGATACAATGCTATACTTAGACTTTACAATCAAATTAGAAATAACATTACACATTGATTGATTGATTGATTGATTGATTGATCAAGTGATTGATTGATTGGCTATACTAACATTATCAGGACAGAAGGTTGGTGTATAAAACCTTATTTTTCTGATTCAACTTTAATCTTGTAATGTTACAACTTTTTTCTACTAATATTATGGCATTATCTGCTAATGATTTTATTCTGGTACATTTATAAATTTATTCTGGTATACATAATATGATGTCTTTATTTTCATAATTTAAAGAAATGTATAATATGATTCCCTCTGAATTCTTTTCTGTTGTATTGTCACAAGTAAGTATATATATATAGATGGCAGACTCTGTTGACAGGATGTTTGAATCAACTCATGTTAACAGGATGATGATTAAAGCTATATAGAAAACA